AGAGGGCATACTGAGTCGAAGCCTTTGAGGTCGTGAAGGAGTTCTAGTTCGTTGAGAATTCGGGATGGACTGCTGGTAACATAAATCTTCTTGATCGCAACGTATTTCGGCCGCCGTCTTTGCTGTATATAGTCGCTCCTTTCTGCCAGGGAATCTATATCCCGTCGCTGCTTCTTCAGTGGCGGCGATGTCCATTGTGATTGTGAATTTTCCTTCTCTTCTATGTCCCACTTGTTTTCGTACTGGTCATATAGCAGGTCCTCGGCCTTGTATACGGTCGAAAAAGTACCTGTAAGCGCGTCAATGTCCATAGCAAATAGATTTGAGAAATGTGTTACCCTCTCCAATCCGGTTGATAAGTCGATAACGCTCTTTGAGACCTCTGAAATTGTCCTGAAATCTGTCCATATCTTCCTGAACAGTGGCGTCAATAACCCCATCACTCTCTTCTGACATTTCCGAGTATGCATCTTCTGGTTCCTCGTGTTCCTCTTCTTCGGTTTCCGCCCTCGACTCTTCCATCCTGTGATCCTCTTCCTCCATTGACTCTTCCACCATCTGGTCGTGGTGGATTTCGAATGGTTTTGCACTTCTCACCCGGACTGTCGCCATTCTGTAAGTCTGCAGCTTGTAAAATACAAGTAATGCGATCAAACTTCCAATTAAAGCACTTCTAGTGTTCGCGGAGCTTGCAATTGCTTATTTGGATTCAGGGTTCAGTGGTTCTGCAAGGTGGGGTGTCAACGGCTATGCCAAAAGGAGACGCGAACAAAACAAACACGGAAAGCGCGACCGCCACTGTCAACAAATGGACCCCGGTCTTTGAGTCTTTGCGACAACAATAATTACATCCACCACCAAGACGAACAGTTGATGTAGGCGTTTCCGCAGCACAACACTGCGCATACTTCGCCAATATGGACACAATTAATTTCGACATCAACAATGCCCTCAAACATTACATGAGCGATCCAGCGACCGTCGCAACCCCCGAAGCAGATTCCAACCTTGTGGATTGCGAAAACGACCCCGAATCTCTTACTAACTCTCTAATCAATACAGTCCTCAACCCGATAGTCGACTCAGTGGCAGAAAATCCCGATTCTATCACCCGAAGCTCTTCATTTGACTCCCTACAGTTCCTTTTAAAGTGCGCTCCCATTCTCCTTCTCTCTTCCCAAAACTATTTATCAGAACCCGAATCTGAGCTCTTCAAACTCTCTAGATCCTCCTCGGTCCTACCCACACATGTGCTTTCGAAGATCCTCGACCTGATCGTTTCCGGACTTTCGACCGAAGCCGATATCATTCATAATGACCTCGAGACCGACGAGCAGGAACTCATTTCCCACCATAAACAATTGCTGGAAGTTTTCGGCTTTTTATTACAGTGGACTATTGCAGCGGTGGAAACCAAGGCTGCAGAGAAGTCTAGCTCTGCACCAGCTGCTAGAGGTAGGGGGAAAGCTGCAAAATCCAAGGCTGCTGCTGGTAAGGACAAAGATGGAAATTGGGACTCCAGTGCACAGTTGCAGACTGCCCTGGATATTATGTGTAAGGTCCTGAAGTTGAAGCTGTCTAAGATCTTCTTGACAACTTCGGAAAGAGACACCTTCGTCAGTCTCTTTACCAGGCCGGTATACATGGTTCTGGAAAGCGAGCAGAGAGTAAAGAATACTGCCATCCGGATGCACGCATTCAAGGTTTTGTGTATAGCTGTCAAACACCATGGACATGGATATGGTATGGCAGAGGCCCTTCTTTGGCATATTTCCAGTGCTAATAGTTTCTGTAGCCGCCCAGATATCGATCGTCCAAAATTTGACATACTTCGAGCATCTTGCCGAGCCCATGGCCGAGTTCCTACACATTCTCTCAGAACAATACGATTATCCCCAACTCGCAGATGAAATCCTCCGAGAGCTAAGCAACAAGGAATTCAACAGCAACGACACCAAGGGTCCCAAATCAGTATCTCAATTTATTGTCAAGCTGTCCGAGTTGGCCCCTAGACTGGTGATCAAGCAAATGACCTTATTGGCAAAACAGCTGGACAGCGAGTCTTATGCCCTTCGATGTGCCCTGATCGAAGTTTGCGGAAATCTTGTGGCTGACCTGAGCAAGCAAGAAGAGCGTGGGGACAACCACAAGTCACAGTTGAATGCATTCTTCGATGTGTTAGAGGAGCGTTTCCTGGACATCAACCCATACTGTCGGTGCCGGACGATACAAGTATACATCAAACTTTGTGATCTCGAACAGAAATTCCCGAAACGAAGACAGAAGGCCGCCGAATTAGCAGCAAGAAGTCTGGAAGACAAGAGTAGTAATGTTCGTCGAAATGCAATCAAGTTGCTTGGTACCCTCATCAAGACTCACCCTTTCAGCATTATGCACGGATCCCAGCTATCACTCAAGGAATGGAACACTCGATTAGAGGCTGTAGATGCGGAACTTGCTGGGTTGAAGCCGCCCGCGGAAGCTCCAGGACTCATGGATACTACCAAAACCGAGGTTGATACGGTTTTATTAGATGATGCTACGGTCATTCAATCCGATTCCCCCCAGAAACCTCTGAGTGACGATCAGAAGATGGCACTGATGAAGAAAGCCCAGGAGGATGCTGCAACATCTGAGGCGATTAACAAGTTGACTTTAACGAGGAGATACTATGTTGAGGCTCTCAAGTTTATCGAAGTCTTACATGGAGCTACGACCACCGTCTGTCAACTTCTTGGCTCCAAGAACAAGAGCGAAGTCATTGAGGCCATGGAGTACTTCGAGATTGGCGATGCATACAATATTGAGCAGAACAAGCTAGGTATTCGACGCATGTTGAGACTTATCTGGACCAAAGGCAACAGTGATGAAGGAAAAGGCGTTCAGAACCATCTGATAGAATGCTACAAGCGTCTTTTCTTCGAAGCTCCAGACTCATATACTGCCAACGATGCCGCGAATTACATTGCACGAAACATGATCAGTCTGACTTTTGGTGCAACCCCGGCTGAATTGACCTCTCTGGAGCAGCTTCTGAGCACTATGATGAAGGCGAATCACATATCGGAACTCGTTGTTCAGAAGCTTTGGCAGGTCTACGGCGTGCAGAAGAGGGAGATTTCGAAGAGTCAAAGACGAGGCGCGATCATCGTGCTTGGAATGTTGGCAACTGCAAAGCCTGAGATTGTTGTTGGAGACATGGAGACTATGTTAAGGATAGGCTTGGGAAGTCTTGGTCGATCAGATCTCCAGTTGGCGAAGTACACCTGTATAGCTCTTCGACGTATCAATCCCACAGGTCGACAAGCAAAGGAGATGGCTGTGCAGCCGTCGAAACTCCCAAACGATCATGCCGTTCTTCTCAAGCTTGGGGCTATTATTGAAATTGTGTCGGACAACAAGGAATGGTACGGTGTGGCCGAACAGGCGATTAATGCCATCTACACTTTGTCGAAGCACCCCGATACTCTCTGCTCAGAAATCCTGAGGAGAAAAACCAAATTTGTCTTTCAGAAGCGTACGGCAAAGACACCGGAACGCGAAGAGCCAGAAGAGCCGGCTGGTGCAGATACTCAAATGCTATCGCCACCACCAGACGAACCTACCGAATCACAATCGAAAGTCAAGGGATCTATTGCACTTTCACAACTCCTGTTCATTGTTGGTCACGTCGCAATCAAGCAAATTGTCCACCTCGAGCTGTGCGAACTCGACTTTAAGCGAAGGAAAGCCGAGGCCGAAAAGAATAAACCAACCACTGAAGCACCAGCTAATAAAGCTGCGAAGGAAGCCGCCGACGATCTCGACATGATTGGCGGTACCACCGAAGATGATTTCACTGAAGCGATGTCACACATCCGAGAACGAGAGCTACTGTATGGCGAGAACTCTCTCCTAGCTAACTTTGGTCCACTGGTCTCCGAGATCTGCTCAAACAATACCACCTACAGAGACCGCAATCTTCAAGCAGCAGCTACTCTCTGCTTAGCCAAGCTTATGTGCGTAAGTTCCGAGTACTGCGAGACAAACCTCCCACTCCTTATCACCATCCTCGAACGCTCCAAGGACCCTATTACACGATCCAACGTCGTGATTGCCCTGGGCGACATGGCAGTCTGCTTCAACCACCTCATCGACGAAAACACTGACTTCCTTTACCGCCGCCTAAACGACAAGGACGCAAGTGTGAAACGTACCTGCTTGATGACTCTTACATTCCTCATCCTCGCTGGTCAAGTCAAGGTCAAAGGTCAACTAGGAGAAATGGCCAAGTGTCTCGAAGATGACGATAAGAGGATCGCGGATTTGAGTCGCATGTTCTTCACCGAGCTGAGCACGAAGGATAATGCGGTTTATAATCACTTTGTTGATATGTTTAGTTTGTTGAGCGCGGAGAAGGATTTGGAAGAGGATGCGTTGAAAAGGATTATCAAGTTCTTGGCTGGATTTATCGAGAAGGTACGTTTGATACTCCTCCCGGTACTCATGCAAGGACAAATGACTAATGCAATGATTAGGATAAACACGCCAAACAACTCGCGGATAAACTCGCTGCCAGACTGGCCCGTTGTGAGACTGAGCGACAGTGGAATGATGTTGCGTATGCTTTAAGCTTGTTGCAGCATAAGAACGAGGACATCACGAAGTTGATCACGGGTGGATTTAGAGTTATTCAGGCTGGTGCTTAGATTTGGGTATATATAGGACAGGATGTACGAATGTATGAAGTAATGAGCGTATATGGCTGGAGGTCCGGCTGGAAAGATTGGGCATGGAGGCGTTAGGTTTTTTTGAATTTTGGGGAGGCCTACACTGTTTTTTTGCTTATCTGTTTGTTCGCTTGTCTGTCATGATGCTAGTCGATAGTGTTTGTATGCCAATACGAAACGAATACACTACACTTGACCTCCAAAGTCCGAAAGGAATGTTCTACTAGCCTGATAATTTTACGATCTCCAGTTATTTAGGCAGACAAAATTATAAACCCTCCAAGACATCCATAGTGAGTCTGAGGATCGAACTCAGGTCCTTCTCTGTCCCAAGTCTAGACTGCCACACAGCACCCACTGTGTGACAGCCTAGAGTTATGTGAGAGAGACGCGCTAACCACTGCGCTAACCCACTTGTTTTGTATTGAATGTAAATAGTATGCTTAGTTGAATATGTATCGGAGCTGATCTAGTGGCAGTTTTGAGATGGAAGCGAAGTGAGCAGGCGAGCAGCGACAGTAGACAGGAGAGACAGGAAGTTGGTAAGGTAAGGAAGGAGGTACAAAGGGATTCGATGATTTCGGATTTGTGAAGACGAATACATGTCTTTCTGCTAGGTGTGTCTTGAGATATTTCTATTAATGTATAACAAAATCTTAGAGTAAATGTCGTTTGATAAGCATCTCCTCGAGCCCTGGATCTCAACGGGCTCGTAAAACTTTCGCTTCAGCTCGGATCGAATGGGACTCTTACGCAGACTTCTCAAAGCCTTTTTTTTTTAAACAGAAGACTCAAATTATCTTGGGATCCAGCGAAAGGACAGCTAAAAGCTTCAAAGGTGGAAGATTTCTAAACTCGAGTTAGGCATATGTATCACCTATATTGAGCTTTGAGAAAGAAATATGAGGTTTTAGTTGAGCGTAAGTCGTCTTGGATGGAACGAGAAAGTGGTTTGACCCAGCCTAAGGATGATTTTCTCGATCAATTAAATAGCGGTTCCATGGAGTAGAAGAGAAAAGAAAATGAGAATTTCGCTCTGGATCCCGAATCAGTTGCCTCTGCAACGTAATTGAAAAGAGATTCTTAGCTCGAGGACCTTATCAGGACTTGAACCTAAATCTCATAGCATGATTTCTTGAGCTGTACGTACTACTAATTTCACCATAAAGTGCTTTCCTAATCGTTGTAGTCCTGTCGAGTGAATGTTTAGGGTTTTGTTGTTGACATGCAAGCGAGATGGGGTCAATGGCCGTTGCGGTCTTCTGGAAAACTCTCCATGTCACTCACACATGTTTGCTCCAAAACGGAGACCTGAAGAATCTGAAGATTTTGACCTAGGGAATATATAGAAGACCTAAAAACACTGTGCATAGACTTGGTATATTTTAGCAGAATGATACTGCTTTCAAAGAAGCCAAGTAAGTGCTTGGCATCCTGAGGATGTGCCATCCAAGAATGTTATGAGGAACTTTCATGACTCCAGATAATATGAAGACTGGTATCAGATGCTAAAAACTTAAAAATCAACACTGCAGCGTGGTTCCCCCTTATTTTTGAATAATTATATCGAAGGTTAGCGGGCTCAAGTGTCTCTCAAGACGTAGCCCCTCGTTTCTGATTTCTTGTTACCTTTCTCTCTCTTGTGCGCGATAAAATAATATGGCGTCCTCAAGACGCTTACTTATGTAGCCTCATATTTCACGTCTGGGCTTCAAGGACATGTCGTTGAGCTTTTCTGGCACGCCATGCATATAATAAACCATGATGGGAGATTCCAGGGCAGCTCCAGCAGCACTGTCTAGTAACAAGCCTGATAATTATAGCTCCAGCTCGAAAGGAAAGTAGGGAGGCAGTAAGATCCTACGACCGGGCATTCTCCAGCTTCTCTTCTCGCTTTCATCCGCCGACAATACCTGGGCGTAGTTAAAATTTTATTCAATCCTTCTATCCTATCACGACTCTTGGTATTATCGAAAAATTATGGCGGTTCAGCAAATTGATCAGTCAACCTTAAGGTACTCACGTGTCAAGTGCTGCACACTTGCTATCTCTGCATGGCAGAATGTGGCTGTCTGGTACGGCACGCCTCTGATACTGCGTGCCACACACTATAACCCTGGCACTAACAACAGATGATAGGATTCCAGTCACCGTTATGCAACGAGCGAATGCTAAGTTATGAGGCGCCTGTGGCACATGGTAGGCTGTATCTCCAGTCCCAGTAATAAGCGAGGAGATTGAAAACAGAAGACAGACGACAAGCTACTTAAAAGCATCGAGAGATCCGCTATTCAGCTTTCGAGGATGAAGCTCTGATCGAAAAAAGTCATGATATATAATCGCGAAAATTCAACAGACTAATCTTGTTTCACCCACGCTTGCGATCACCATCAGCATCAACAGGTGCCTTTACCCGCGTGCACTCAACCCAACAATCTCAAAAATGTGTTTCGGGAGCATCAACCCCCGAATCGACCATGGCGCAGATCAAGACCCACCATCCCGCATCATCGAGATACATTCATTCTCCGACCCCAATACAGCCTCCACTCTCAGCTATGAGGGAACAATGTCCTCCTCCTCAAAAGAGAAAAAGAAGCCATTCCACAACGAAGAAAGCAATCTTCCCTCTTACCCAAGCTGTACAGGGACCCTGGGCACCGTCTCTCGCCAGAAGACGAAGGTTGTGCAGAAAAAGAACTCGTTTCATAGAGAGCAGGAGGATTTGCCGGTTGGGTGGGGTTGGAATAATGCGCTCTCTCATGGGGCGCTGGATTTGTCGCAGACGACTGCGAACCAGAGGGGTAGGGCGATACAGAAAGACTTGGAGGAAGAGAGGAAGATGAAGGCTGAGAAGAAACCGAAGATGAGGCCATAGTAAGTGTTTGCGTTGAGTAGTCTCCCACCTCGAGGGAGGTTCGAAAGGAGGGAGGTGGAGGAGAGGGTTGAGGGGAGGGGTCAGGGAAGGGATTTTGCAGAGAGAGAAAAGTAGCTGACGTTCTGTGCGTAAATGAGAGATGATATGATGCAGGCGCTATCTTCTTGAGTTTTGGTGAAATTTTCATTCTTCGCCCGATTCAGGCTACTCAGTGTGTTTGGAAATAAAGCCATAGAGATCTGAAGGGCTTGAGCTGGGAAGAGCTGCTGTACTGGGAAAGAGAAACGTCTTTATCCAGGAAAGTTATACAGAACTAGCTAGAAGATAGCCATGGTCAGTTGAAAAGCGCCATAGTTGCTTAAGTGAGTTGATTGAAAACACCAACTGCAGCAGTCTACCTTCGATTCCTTGATTTCCAACTCCCTTGGCTTCTTTCGCACTCAAAACGTGCTTCCTCTGGATTCTGAGCTTCCTTCCCTTAGAAACTTCTGCGAGTAACTGGGTTTTTTTCTCGGTGCTAAAATAGAGGTTCGGAACTCATCAGGATTCAGGCATAGCAGAAAGAATTATGGTGATCATGTCCTCGGAATATTACACATTACAGAATAGAGATGCTCCCCAACTTGAATCCTGATGTACGATCTTACATCATTTTTACCACGCGCCCTATCGAGCCCTTGAGCCCTGGTAAAACCTCTTCCCTCTTTCCTCTTCCCGTCTCCACTCCACGTCAAGCCCGTATCTTCCCCATCCCAACACAACACAACACATCTCCCAAACCCCCCAATCTCTCCTCAACGCATCAGAGAAACCTCACAGCACTAAAAATTCAGTAACGAACACACCACGCTTTCAAACTCACAACTTGCGGGACAAGTTTACAGAATTCGATTGAGATGCTCATTCGTCAATTCATTACTGTATTGCTATATTGATAGTCAGAGTAGTCATGTATGTCTTCGCTCAATCTATAGGTCTCCTATTCAGTAAACAGTATCAGAAGCTCTTGAATAACTACCTGTCGCTAAGTAAGCGATCCTTGATATATTCAAATTTAGAAACGGCAACTCCCTTACAGGTTTACCTGGCGTGACCGAGAATCAGCCGGGGCATGTTTTTCCGATAAGGGAGCGAAGGAAAGGTTTGTTGCACGTCGTAATTTTTTCAATGTCATATAAATATTTGATAACTTTCGAAAATTGACTTCCAAAAAGAGCATTGCTGGAGATGGGGTAGTCTAACCGTGTGTGCAAATCACATCACAATACATCATCATTACCGAGAAGATAGAGTATTTATGCTCTCATTATCCTCATCATGCTGTATACAGAAACCGAACAGTAAACCAACAATAGAGTCGTTTCGATCCATCCATTGCTCATCCTCCAAAACATTCAAAACATGAAAGCAAACCAAACAAGTAAGTACGCCCGAAACTCCTCATATGAGGCAAGCAAGCAAGTAGTCATCTTCGGCTACCGGTATCCAACCCATGCTACCGCTGCCACCAGACTTCCACTCCACCCTACTTGAACAGCAAGAATGTAACCCTAAGCACGGTTTATGCATGAATAGATGCCTCCAGGGCGGAAGAGAATAGACTGTGAAGTCAAACCGACATGATTTGTACCGGAGAAGCATGGCGATCGAAGCGAGGACTCGAATTGAAATGAATCGAAAATATTTTGAACAACATCGTCGCAGTCGTAAACCATGTTGTAACCCTCTCAAAAGACAGTGCTCTTCGTCCGCTGGTGATTTCTCGATGTTTTCCGGAGTGTAGTTCCTTGTTCAGCCTTCTTTTTCATGCTCTCTTCACGCTTCAACACCATATCGGCCCAACCGCCTTTGGTTTTGTGCTCCTTGCCAATGCAAGCATCGAGAACTTGCATCCAACCTTCCTTGTCGGCAGCAGTGTCGGCGTAAAAATCAATGACTTCACCATTGTTGAAGCGAATGCGAAATCCTTCTTCAACGAACATGTAGCCTTCCTCCTCCTCTGCAAAGCCCGACTTGCGACGTTTACCACCCTTGCCAGTCGTTTCCTTCTGGGTGAGTGCACGACGATCATCGATCAGCTTGCTAGCGTTGGCAAGATTGATGGTGGCACGAGGCTGGCGGGTGGACTCATGGTAAGCGGTGAGTTTGCTACCTGCGAGCTTGAAGAAGCGGCGGCGCCAGTACTGCAGATTGTTAATGATAGTTCTTGGAACGAAGAATGATCAAACTTACTGGACAATCACCACCCTGTTGACTCAGGTGACCTTCATAGTTGCGAGCCAGAGCAATCTCGGCTTCCTTCATCTCTCGGATGCAAGAATTCATGCTCTTTGGCATCTCATCATCGGTAGCTCCCTGGGGCTTAGGAACGAAAAGAAGCTGCAACTCAAGCTTTGCAACCTTGTATGGCGCTCTTCTTTGAACAATGGTGCCTCCACGCTTGCTCATAACGCTGGATCTGTGAGTTGCTTCTTCGGTAGCCCATTCGTTGAAGCATGCAACATCAACCACATATGGTCGACCATAGCAGCGAGTCT